TGTCAACACCACCCATCTGCACTCCAGACATTGCGGAGCTCCATCCTGACGTGACCAGTGGGAACAGCAAATTCGCATGCCATCATGACATCAGCAAGGCGGCGTCAAGTCAATGCGAGTGCCTCAAGCGACTCGATTCGATCGGACCACTCTGTTGTTATCCACTCGGGGGGGGCCGAAAAGGTTGCAAAGGGTTCCCAATTGCAGTATGGCGAAACGGTACTTGTGCATCGCCGTCGCATTATCAAGCAATCGATTGAATGAGTTGTTGTACGAAAGCAATGGTCGCTCTGGTCTAGGTCGAATGATGTTACGTTGAAGTAAATGTCTATCATGGACATGAACTCTTCAATGTCACCATTACACTGCTTCATGATACGAGCAATGAGAAGTAATGTAGAGCGCTTGGTCAAGGTCGGCGATAGAGACGACATTTAGTGGCACAGAGCACTCACTTTGTTTATCTGCGCTTTTCCGGAAGTGAAACCTGAAGTATGGTTCGTCCCGAAAGACGATTTTATTTTGACTTTGGCTCAATCTGAAGCCAAAAATAAACACCGAAATTTGTGATTTCAGGTTTAAACTTCAGGTTTCGGATCTTGAATCTAATCTGTAATTTAGCCGACCGAAAACTCTCTATTCTCTGGGGAAAAATGGATTTTGCTGAATTTTTCCTCTAAAAATCGATACTCGTAACTTAATTGGGGACTGCAATATTTATCGACATTGTCGCTCGACGTCGGTCGGTTGTATACAACGAACGTAAGCTTTGTTCATGCACTCATTCGATCGATGACTGCGCGAAGTCGCCCAGTGCACTACCCTGACGTTGTAAAACACCATGGGACTATGGCTTCCATTGCTCACTTTGCCGCCTTTGCCCCTAAACTACTTGTTTCGCCTCCACGGCGAAGGCATGACTCGGCTCGTTCACTTGTTGTGCATCCAAATACAGCGTGCGCAGCCCAAGAGGGATGGCCACATTTCCTCCCACAATAACGACTACATCAAATTGTTCAATCACATACGTCGATGATCATGCGTTGGGCGTCGCCTGTGTTCATGACGAACTAGTCGAGTGCCTGCCCCGACAATTACAACCCCAGTTTGGGGCCCCACTGCGGTCCCCCGTCACCTCTTTCCCATCCGTCATAACGACATCGATCTTAGCAACTCCCCGCTTTCGTTCGATGACACACACAATCAGTGAGGGGGAACAAGTGAATTGTGTACCGCCAGCCTTGGGAGTGGCGTGGCGGGTTA